ACTGCTTTGAATTTGTTATGAGGGTTTATCAATAGAATATAATACTATGTGGCACAGCGATCGCTGAGAAGCGAACAAAGTGGATTCTGCATTGCTTGATATATATAATTTCGATAATTATTTCGTAGGAAGATATCACAATCGAATATGACAGAATTAGGTAAAAGATTACTCACGACCCTTTGCTGTCATACTGTTTTTAGAAATCGATTCAGAAGTCGGCACTCTACATTGCTGCTACCAGTTTAATATATATATAAAACTTGTATGTCGCAAATCGACATAGATGTAAAGATTTAGATGAAAATCCAAGACGAAGTATAGTATAATTCAGGACTCACTCACATCGCGGGATGATCTCTAACACTCAAGTCACCAACATATTGTCGCCATACTTACTTCAGACTTATTCATAATATGCTGGGAATGAGGAAGACGATTTCATGCCTCCGCGATAATTAATGATATAATTTTCTATATGCTACCACGGGAGTTTATATCCTTGAAATTTCCAGAAAGTCATTGATATTCACGCTCGAGGGGCATGCCATACATCGATAGAGCATCTACTTCTTTCTCCGCAAGTTTGAAGATCCACCTATTTACAAACCCGATGAACCAATACTCATGTTATCTACCAGGTCACTCGCAGTCGCCTAAGTAGGTGTAGCATTTGACACCGCTCACGAAATCGCAGAAGTGCCGTGTGGCATGTATGATATTGGGTGAACTTCGTTCAGTCACCAGACACCGTACACCTGGAATATTCGACGAATAGGCGCACGCCTCTGCATAGAGTATCAATCTCAGATTAATGTGCGGCTATCGAACATAAGCTAGGGCTCACCAGGGCCAATATGACTTTGGGTAGCTATTGAATAATCGGAAAGTGGACTGCACAATTCTATTCTATCAGAAAGGTATGAACGTTCTGGAGTAGCGTCAGCCTCTTATACGTACACCGAATTGAACTAATGACTGACATTCAGCATATGTGACGGCGAACCCAGCTAGTTTGTCTGCAGTAAAAATCTTCAGCTGTTGACATTCTAAGCAGGGGTCCCTGGTTAACCGCCTAACTACCGATGATTATATAGAGCAATCATATTTTATAAGGTCCCGCGAGAAGCGAATAGGAGTTTATATTATTCTTGCGAGATGATGCTTGTTGAGTTGACGAATAGTGTAAAAACACTGTATCAGGCCGAGCGGGAGCTAAATGATGATGCATGCTACTCAATGGAAATCAAGTCAATAACTGTTAATTGAGAGTTCAAGCATGATGGAGAATAACGAGCTAGATATCTCCTGGGAAGATTGCCTCTCTAGATCATTGTGGTGTTGATTCATAGTGCATTCCTTTCGTATATTGCTATGCAGCCGCGACCACCTAGCTCCAGGGGTATAGATCAATTACAAAACGAACTGCTTGCGAAGAATAGAACCCGCAACCCGAGCTCCTTGTGCATTGAGGTCTCCTTTTTGATGCCGGGGAGCTCATGCAAGAACTCAGACGGGTGAAAAGTGGAGCTATACATGGGAACAAGGGCCTACGACGTTGATCTATCTTCGAAATGTTCCTATCGATGCGCGCACCAATGTACCGGAGCCAGTATGGTGATCAAGTTGTGTGCTAGATGCCTAGTTAGTGCATACTGCCTGCTCGATTTCTTGGAAGGGATTCAAAGACTGTTCTTGGCTTACTGTCAGCTATAAAACATGGGTTCTTGAAAGCCACATTAAAAAAAAAAAGAAAGAAAGAAAGAAAGAAAAAAGCCTTCTTGGTGCTGTTCCATCCCGGAAAGCTTCCAACCAAAATGCAAATATCAGACATGGGCTTTCTTCCTGTATGGTTTGCTAGTCTCCCCAGTAGTATATCTGATCGATCAATGTCTGGAGGAACAAAGCTGGTCAATACCGTTGACTTTCAAAAGAAACAGTGCAGAAATCAGCGCAATTTGCTAGAAGTTCGCAACAGTTGGGTATCTTCTGTAAGTCTAAGCAGTGCTGCCTGAGTGAGCTTCGGCTGCAAGCCTCGTGTGTTCCAACGGCATCAGGACCCTTGCCCATAGGAGCGTGGCAAATCTGTTAGGTAAAAAGAGCGCCAAAGGCAAGACCAAGACTCCTTTGCCTTGCCACCTCTATACCTGTGACTCACGTTAGACGACAATTAAGATGATTTAATATATCTGGACTACCTATTTCGTTGAGGGGATCATCAACCGGGACGATCCAGGGCGTCCTGCGATATTCTCAATCAATCAGCTTCGAGATCAAATCTCAAAGGAGGCTGGCTGATCGACGGCTCAGAAGTACTGATCCTAAGCGTGCATGACTTCCTATCCAGGAGACGCTGCAAAGTGATGTCAATTGAGGGGAACCATGGCTGTTTCTCCGCAATGGATACATGGCGAATACAATCTCCAAATTGCTGATGTGACGATGTTTCGACTAGTGTCTTGGAGATACATATGCCATGACATGTAGTTGCTCAAAATGTAAACCATTAGTCAAGTCATAGTGAAAACGGATATTCTATACGATGTATAATGATGAGCACATGTAGCAACAGGGCTGAAACGCCCTAACAATCTAACCTGGGGTTAGCTCGCTATACTCAATTTTTCTGTGTCATGGAATGGAACGTTACCCCAAGAGCGCTTGGCAATCTGTAATCACTAGGAGTCAAAGTGGGAACAGGTATCCATCTGTGCAGCTGTGACAGAAGCTTGAAGGATAGCATTAGAGAGGGATGGAGGCTCATGCCTGAGGAAGAAATGCAGGGAAACATGTGCGGGATCATGTGCGCCATGATTGTCTTCCATGGACGCGCTGCACCACACTTCATCACTTCATTATCCTTGTACCCCCTCCACCTCCCCCACCTAACCTCATCAATTTGCGGCCAGTCCTCTCTAGGTAGACTTGTCTTCCATACAAGAAGAACACTTTCGGATATGCCTTATAGCTACTGATTCTCTGGGATTGCGATGAATCTCCAGCTCGTCCGAAGGCATCCGACACCAGCAGAGATACCCAACGCGCGGTTCTCTATCCGAACACGATTCTAGGGCTAGAATGGGCCTACATCCGGGCGAATGCTCCACGCCGAACGGTAAGGCCGTAAAAGGATCCCTGCGGCTGGAAGTTAAAACGGTGCTTGATTCCGTGATATATTGATACCGCGTGCTAACGCACTAGTCATTAGCGCAGGATTTATTATCCTCGTCTTCCCTCCTGTGGAATGTTCCGAAAACAGCAAAGAATGACGAGACTAGCAAAGATTGACACATAATTTCCTCCATCCAACTAATCAATTAATATAGATAGATGCAGGTACGATATTGTGATTCTTGATAAGAATGGCGATACTGCAACTACGGGCTACATTTGGATTTCGGGGATATCCGAATAACCCACATCTGGGTCGCGAATGATATGATATCTTCTTAGTTGGGCATAATGCAGAGTTCTGATTCGGCATCCTGGCAAATGTTTATTCCTGATGGTTCAAACGCGTCGCCCAATGATAACATGTGAGACACGTTATATCCGATGCAACCATTCTATCAAGCGGTGGAGTCCACAACTGCTTCAATCGCCAATGATGCAGATCAGGTCCTCGTACTGAACCGCATCCAAACTACAAACGGGATTAGCCTGGACAGGGACTTGCTTGGCATGAACAACGCACGATCGAGGATTGGCTGAGAATCGATCACCCGCTTAGAAGGGCCCAGTTCGTGCCTTTTACGTTACACTCTTGGCGCACGCTATCCTTGAGGGCCTTAACTTGATGTGGTTGGCGAGACTTCGGAAGCATGTGAAGAAACTGGGGCAAGATAAATGAATGTGCGTCTTTTTTTTTCCCTCAGAACCTCTCCGGCCTACGTGACTGGGGCAAATGCGCCTCGTTCCTTAAAAGGTCTAATGCCGGAGAAATCGTGGTTTGGCGTGGCACTAAAATTGCTTGACACACTAAACTTCCTGAACGTCGATTATTTAGGGGGTTGAGGGGGAAGGCCAAGTTGTGTCAACGACGGTCAGATCACCGAATGTTGCCGGAAATTGAAGGGTTCTGAAAGGTTGCATTACCTCCGCTCATCGATACAGTCAATCAGTGTTAGCTCAAAGTTTGATTCTAAGTTCCGCATTCTAGATGGACGGAGGTGAGCACCACTGAAAAGGTATACCCCAAGCCAAGCTCCACAACTACGGGCGGGTGGCCACTTCAATCCTGCGGTTGGAATATCCGAGAATCCCAGGGCCTTAATAGCACGACAGTCTTTAATTAATATAGTGGTTCCGCTTTTGTGCAGGGATGCAAATCCCTGAAAAGAAACAGATGACTCGGGATGAATTGTAGAGAGACCACTCCTCAACGGCCGTGCCTGACGAGCATCAGACCAGCGGTCAAGGGTGTTGCGAACAGAACTGCAGCAATGCCCTGATTTTGTTGGCTAAGAAACCTAAGAGCGGGTGGCAGAACGCTATCATGCCACTATGCAATAACCAGGAACAAGCCCGTGGGTAACCGTTGGGCCAGGGGATCAAGGTTGCATTGCAGGATTCGCTGTTTGAAGTAAAGAAAAAAAATCTTCAAGCAAAAGCCAGTTTATACGGGTTTATAAGGCAATCGCGCGTATCCTATTGCCTATACTTCGAAGGATCTGATATCTCATGATCTGCGTGATCGGCTTGCCTCCTATCTTAGATCACCCGGGCTTCTTCAAATCAGCAACGACGCTCAGACGTGTCCCTGAGAAGTGAGCCGAGTCGTACACGAGAGAACGCGGAAAGCAAATTAAGGATGAGCAAAAAAAAAAAAAAACGGTTGTTCCTGAGTCATGACGAATGAGCAAAATTCAGACACACCTTCTACTTTTGGGGGGTATGCCCGATCGCAATCTTCAACCCGCCATGATAAGAGACACACGCTATCGACAAATCACCGGAGTTCAAGATTAGTGGCAGTCCTTAGCTAATTTCAGGTCGGCGTCAACCTTAGCCAACCCAACCCAACCCCCTCATGGAAGCGGGACTCCCTATGGAACCGGCTTACATCGGAGGCGCAGCTGCAATGGCGCACGTCAATCAACCCCTCTCTTGTTGCAGTTCCTATTATGCCAAATCACCCTTTCTATTCTTCTAGAAACCGCACCCTAGAGACTCGGATCTGCACGGATTGGCTGAAATGCTCCGATTAGTTCGCATTTACCCCAGGTCAAAATGGATAGTCAATCTAATGGAGCCTATTTCGTCAACTGCCTGCGAGCTAGCACAATCTCCTCTTCACGCCCGGCCGTGGGCTGTTAAAAGGGTCAGTTCCCTCCCCACCTGTGTGGATTCTCAATGATTTGCACGGGATTTGTCCTGGTTTCCACAATTATTCTTGCTCTCAGCTTGTTTTGCCCGCCGATTATTCATTTCATCAACGCGACAGGCTACATCCGTCGTCTGATGTCATGACTAGAACTACTGAACCCATTAAATATGAGGCCCCTTCGTGGGAGCACAAGAGCGTTCATGTTTCCGACGACCACAGGAGAATCATTCCTAATGTCGGCGACGACGCGACACGCCCAAAGGGCCGCATTCGACGTTCAATGACCGCTTGTAATACCTGCCGCAAGCTTAAAACTCGGTGTGATCTTGATCCACGAGGGCATGCATGCCGGCGGTGTCTATCTTTAAGGTCGGGTGCCACCGTTATCCACTTTACCCAATCTCTTACGTCAAAATGAGGGATCCCATGTCCTGCCAAGACCAAATAAGCCTTTCTTGGGTACTAATTTTTCTATAGAATTGACTGTCAGCTCCCTGAGACAAGTGAGCGCTTTCAAGACAGTACTCCAATGTGGTCAGACGCAACGACAGCCATCCCCTCCATCGAGGAGCGTCTCACTTCCCTAGAGAGGAGTATGAGAGAGATGACCGGCATGCTCCGGCAGATTTTGAATCAATCACCAAGCGTCTCTAATATCTCTGTACCTCCGTTAGCTCGGAGTGTTCATACGGAAGAAACGGCCTCCATTGAAGGAAACTCATTCGGCCCTTTCCTACCTAAGCCCGTTCGGCTAATTCAGGACCTCCAATCCGAGTTTTTTGGGGAGACAAGCCGCATCCCTGTCGAATCTCCTTTCTTAGGTAACAGTTTTGAGAAGGGTATCTTAGATTCTAAGTTATCTCTCAAATTGGTACAGCTGTATGGTTACTTGTTGCATCCATCTACCTCTATAGCCGCTAATGCTTGAACCAGATTTGTGGATAATTTCGGCCCCTTAGTATCCATAAATAATCAGTCCGACTTCCATAATGAGATGAGAAATACCGATTCATTACTATATAGCACTGCCTGTCTGCTGGCCTCCCGATATGTGCCAGGCATACCACCACCGATTCTCCATGCCATGAACCTCCAAGTTCGACATAAGGCAGTCAATCTGCTGTGGGAGAAACCGCCTTTGAAGTATGAATCGCTCCAGGCACTCGCCCTTCTTTGTCTATGGCCAGCGGCGGGTCAGAAGGAGTTCCCCATAGATGGCTGGTTATTGAGCGGGACTGCAATCAACCATGCCCTCGTTTCCTTTGACTTCCTCAATCATGTGCCTTCAGAGCTTCTCATTGACAACGACATGGCCTCTCAGTTGCGGCTCTGGAATGCTTTCTGCTTGACACAGTTACAGTAAGTACGTCATTTCTGGGTTTACTCGAACTTGCTAATGCAGAAATAGTTTCGCTGTTGGCAACGCACGTCCATTCCATTTACCACAGAGATATCTCGATTATTGCCCCCGACTTCTTGAGCATCCCGCTGCAACGGTTGAGGATGGCAAGGTTGTAGCAGAGATTCAGTTGTACTTAATCACTTTGCGACTCCAAGCCAACGAACAACGCATGCGATTCGCGGATGTTGAGTACGAAGAGATCGAACGGTGGAAGGTGGAATGGGCTCATCTCCTTGGTAAGGCTAATTTATGAGGACTAAGCTCGTATAAATGCTTACTATCCAACAGCTGGTGATGAAAATTCAACATTTGAGCTTAGTCTCTGGTTCTGCCAGATCCTCCTGCATCGGACAGCAATGAGGTTCCAGGCGGAGTCCGAGAGACTCACATCGGAAATCCTCCAGGGGTCGCGCTTGATCATCTCGAGATTTCTGCAACTCCGATTCGTCACCGCGCTGAGAGTGGTCGATCAGGCATACTTCATTGTCGGTTATGCCGCTCTTAATCTCTGCGACTTCAACTTCCTCGACCCCCTCATCGACCAGATTCAGATGTTTCTGCTGCATCTGTCGCCAAATGAAGACCACATCGCATACCGGTTTTCATGCATGATAGCGGAGTTCAAGCGTCGCTGTGCCGAATGCAACGACCCTTGCAGCGCAGTCGACGGTTCTCAATGTTCGTTCGGAGATGCCCGGAAGATGAGCATGGAACAGGTACAATTCGTGCCACCACTGGTAGATAATATGATTGAGGGATATGGCGCTCTGGAACAGCTGATCCCTGAGGTCATGCCACAGTCATTTCCGGAAAATGTCATTAGTGGCATGGCTGTGACTGAAGCCATCCCTGTGGGATCGGCGCCATACTAACAACTTTTTGATACCGTAATAATAGTATAACGAAAATGGTGTTGATGACGGTTTGGGCCGGGTGGGTTTTACATGGTCTGGCGCGTGTTTAATATTGGATATACGATACTCTCTCCAGTACTCTAATTCAAATTACCCCTTTTTTTCTCTCAACTTTTTAAGATCTATTATTGTATTGATACATGTAGCTGGACAGTAGTACGTATACCTTTCTGAGTTGCATTCAGCAAGTTGGCAGCTCTCCCCTCCCTTATCCCTTTCCCCTCTCTCTAGACATGGGCTTAAGTATGACGTACTTAACGGCATGATTAGCAAATCCAATGACTTATGATATCTCACCAAGACCTAGTAATTTGTACAGATGATATACCCCCACCACCTGCATACGATTATATTGTATAGGTATTTTCCAGTCTCTCTTTCCTCTCCTTTCTTTTCCTTTTCTTTTCTTCCTCCATTCCGTTTTCATTTTATAGTTACGAGCAACCACCAGGTCAACTCCCAAGATATGCTGGATAAAGCCCTAACATATCCATCCCTAGATGAACAACTAGACCAAATCAAACTAAATGGAGCTATAACTTGAAAAGCCCCAATAGCTCCAAGTTTGAGCGAGATTCCCCAGCGCTAGGTACCTTCCCTATTCATGCTAGAGGAGGATATGGTCTTTGAGTGGATATTATTATCTTGTATAGTTCTTTTTGCCCTGTTTCCCCCTCTCTCTCTATGTTCTTGTACTTGCTTTTTTGTCTCGGGTATAGTCAACTTCCTCAGTCTCTAGTATATACTTGAACATCCGAGTAACTACTAACAATCGATCAATCTGAGATACATTCCCATTTTCCCAACTATAGAACAAATACCGTATATAATCAGATAGACAAGACATATCAAACTCATAGTCCAAAAAAAAAAAAAAAAAATTCAGACTAAATACCAGTGTCATCACGTACCCACCACCTTTCACGAGCTACTACAGATCTTGCTATCTGCCAACTTCTCAGTCGGATACAACACCCTAGGCAATCCACCCGCCATAGGAACAGGCACCTTTCCATCCGAGCCCACCGTCACAGTCGTACAGCCAATGACCTCAGTCAATTGCTGTCCGGCCGTGTAACCCGTATCACCCAAAGAGAGGGTGTACGAATCACCCGAAGCACCCTTGTTAGACAAGATAGTCACGACCTGCGAGCCATCGGTGCCCTTGCGCATCGCGATCGTCGTGTCATCCTTGTAAATGGGCCAGTTCTGTATTACCCAGATTAGTCAGTCTCTCTCTCTCTCTCTCTCTCTCTCTCTTTTTTTTTTTTTTTTTTT